AGAACTTTCTACAAGGCAGGATCCAGCGTCAGTCAGTCAGTGCCACGGGCCTATCGAAAGGTGCCTCACACAATCACATCACCGCATGTCACACCCAAGCTATAAAAGGAGCCCCCGCCTGATCGTCAGGGTCCCTTCTGCATCCAATGGACTCGAAACAACTCATGGCATATTATTATGGACACGGCTTGGCCTTCGGAGTGGCTAACCGGAGGAGGACGCAGAGACCCGCCTGATCCCGGCGACCTGAAACCCCTGAGACAACTCACCAGCCAGATCCATCGGTCTCACGCACCATTAGGGCGCGCGAGGCGTGGTGAGTGAGTTTAAGCTGCTGCGTGGCTACGTTAACAGTTATCAGTAAAGATCACCAAGCCTGTTCACTGTCCTCCCACCTCCTCATGATGTGGTAAGACCAACCAAGAAAAGATCCTGTCACAGGTTTCTCATGGTTTAAGTTTTTGAAGCACCAATAAATAACTGAAATTATCATACCAATTAGCATATTCAGTAATGTGCCCTCATACACTGTGGGTGCATCTACATAAGGTGCTTACTGCAGTTGCCTAATTAGCTACGTAATAAAGCATCATGGGTGTCTACACGAGATGCTTTACTGTGCAGTAGAGCAAATTACTGTGTACACATACAAACCCTTGCTGCACTGTAATTTGCTCTACTCAATCAATTTGCTACCTGCAAATGCAAGTTGCGAATTAACTGCCAGGTAATTACTGCACAGTAAAGCATGTGTAGACGGTTGACCGAGAGCAAATTTGCTCCCTGTGGGAGCCCAGGCAGGGACAATGTCCCTCTAGCCCAGCAGCACAGAACTCCCCGTCCCCACTCTGTGATCATGGAGCAGGGGCAGGGAGTTTCCTATAGAAGGAAAAATTCGCGCCCCAGCCTAGAGCTGGTTGGGATCTGCCCCTAACTGGGATAGTCTGCCAGCCCCGAGGGGGACAATGCGTCTGCCTGGGTTCTGCCATCCGAGCCCACCTTAGCAGCAGGCAGCTCCCAGGGACAAGAAGCAAATCTTCCAGCCCCTGCCAGGAGACAGCTGTCTCCCTGCCAGCCCCTGGGCTAGTACCCAGCCCTGCACTGGCCCCCTGCAGGAGCTGGGGGGAGCAGGTGCAGATTGCTGCCAGGAACAGCAAATCTGCTCCCAAATGGGTACATGTAGCTGCCTGTTAAAGATGTGTTTACTCCAGAGTAAATTATGCTACAGTAAACCCATCCGGCAGCATTTGCATGTGTAGATGCACCCACCGTGTACATGAGCAGTATTAAATTAGTTTACTCTGGCCTAACTCCACCGTAGGATATTACTGCCTAACACAAGTACTATTCTACAGCAGAGTTATTTACTCTACTACAACGCAAAATGTAGACAGTGACCGGGGCTGGCTGGGGTATGAGGGTGCTACAGTGGGGGACTGCTTGCCACCTAGCTCCATAGTGTGGCACCCTTGTGTCCCAGCCAGCCCCTCCGTAGCACAGTGAGCTGGGGGAGCAGCTCTGGGCTGGCAGGCTGACCCAGCTCAGTGTGCTACGGTCCCAGGTGCACGTGCATATGCTACGCCTGGGAGCAATAAACATCTGTGTGAATTGCACCAGAGTTTATTGTGTTAACATCATGTGTAGACATGCCCTGTTAGTACCAAACCAATCCCTATCAATCTGTCCATATGGCGCAATGCAGGGCTATGCAGAAAAACCTGATCTAGCTCTGAACAACCTGCCTTGGGTAGGAAAGCCGTATTATCAGTGTTAAAAAGTATGGGCTAATCAGTCTTATTAAGAGGTATAGCAAGTTACTCAGGGCTAGCTCAGCAATTTTTACATGGCACTGCATCCCAATATGCAGACCTGTTGCTGGTCCCACTCATACAACAGATGCTTTCGTCTCAAAACACTCACTAGTGGTTAATTTTTGGTGATATCATACTATCCCAAGCAAATCTATCCTTTCTGGAGGTTTGTTTGGACTGATTGTGTCTATTAATTCTAGAAAACACTTCTCACCAAAGGTAATATCAAAACACCACCTACGCTTGTTACATGTTTACTATAGCCCCTTGTTCTTGATAATACACTAAGCTATTCAAATCCTGGAAGCAGTCCTTGGACTAGAACTTTAATGAGCAGAAGTGGTTTACATCTTTTGAATGCAAAAGGCACTTGAGACTGCTTTTACTTCTAATACTGCATTTTAATTCTAAAATGTTACAAGTTAAAAAGCTTGCAAACAAACTAGCCACCACCTTTGGAAATACCCTCTATGAAAACAGTTCAGACAATTTACCCCTCAAAGCAGATAATTCTATCCTGTCAATATCTGTTTAAATCAGTTGGACATTATATTGAATGATCTGACTGCCTACCATTCCTAGGCAATAATGCTATACAGAGCATAACTAGAACTCAGTACCCCACACCAGATTTTCAAAGACGACAATTCCAATTCAACATTTTTTTTAAAACCCAATACATGCTTGGGCTAAAGATCATTCAAAAACTGGTCCTAATATTGTGTTTGATGAGGACATTTTTGTTGTCCAGATAAGGAACTTTTATATTTAAGCCTTTTTCCCCCCCTACCCTAGCGATTCTACTGCTTTAACAATTACATTAGGTAAGCCAAACCATGAGTAACAGCAAAAATTGAAAAGACAAAGAGGGCAGCAAGACTTTTTAAAAATTCCTCCCCTTGAAAATGTAGGTGCAAGGCACATGAAGTTAAGAAAGATGATGCCTTTGGTTACTTTATTATCAAAGGTTTCATGTCTGTAAATCAGTTAACTGGGAGGAATTTAAAATTGCTTTCTACAGATGGAAAGAAGTCATTCATTTTGTTCTGGAAAATGTTTCCCATGCCCACTAAAATACCAGTTATAACAAGGAAGTGTAAAGGCAAGAAAAAAATAACCAAGAGGAAAAATGGCTTAAGATTCTCACACAAATCTAAAAAGTCACATTGCCTTGCATGTTAAAATAGGCTCCAAAAGGAACAAAAACAACAAACGAAAAACACAACAAAAACCACAAAACCTCAACATTGCATTGCAAAGGTTTATGCAATTACTTTTTAAGCTTCTTCCCTCTTACATTTGGAAAGTCCTTAACTCGGTATTTCCCAAACAACTAAAACTTAATGGCTTTTTGTTTTGTTTTTTTTTAAAAAAAAACAACAATATTAATATCAAAGGCCTGCACACAGTCCTCAGCTTACGACGTTTCGAGTTACAACGTTTTGCACTTACAACGTTTCTAAATTGACACCCCGTTTCAAGTTTATGACGTCAGTTTCAACTTTCCAATGCTTGAACCAATGTGACACCATGCTCCCTGGAGAACATCTGTCCAAACTTCCTTGGACACTTCCTTTAAAAAAAAGCAGACAAGACTCCAGAAAAACCTGCAGCCAAGACTCCTGAGAAGACTCCAGCCAAGAGCCCTTCAAAAAGTCCAGCAAAGTCACCTCAGAGAAGTCCTTGCAAATCAATGATTGCTATTTACAAATATAAATACATTAATGTAGCTATATTACTCATCTATAATAGAGTACAAAAATCTGGGGTGTTTTTTGGTGAAAATAGGGTGTTGGGCCTTGGTTCTGGAACAAATCCCCCATTTATAACATTGTTTCTTATGAGAAAATTGGTTCCAAGTTACAATGTTTTGACTTAAGACATGGTTTTCAGGAACCAATTGTCATAAGTTCGAGGACTGCGTGTGCTTATAAAAAAAAGCAATGGTAAAGCAGAGTACATGGAAAATTAATGGCAAAAAACAGGTTTATTCAGTGTGCAGAAGGATGGCATTTTATGTGACATTTTACTAGTACTTCATTAGTGCTTCAGGTACTACTGTTTCAGGAGGGCTAAAAAATGTCTTGGGCATCCTGACAGCAGCAATTTGGGGGACATATTTTTGCTTCTTGCTCAATTGCATCAATATTCAATTGTTATAAAGTACCCAGCTGAAGCAGGGTATTAAGGATTCCCTCTTCATACACTCACTCTCTTTTTAAAAATAGGTTTTCACACATCTATTCAGTTCAAAACATTTCATGTGCAAGACAATTTACATGCACAACACCATTGTTCCTTTTAAACCAGAAATGTATACAGAACAAGTCTACTGAAAGCTGAGTTTCTGAAAGCACCAGATACTGAGTCATCTCAAGCAGAAATGGGGTAATAAATGTATTATAGCCCCACTTCTGATATTGATGATCCACTATTCACAATTATCCAACAAACTTATTATTTTTGTCCATCAGAATACAGGCATAAATTATGTACTGCAAGTTCTTTTTATCCCTTTCAACATTCTTTGCTATTTTCTCCTTGTCAGTTAATTTTGCCTTCCCCAGCTTAAATCAGGCCCATGTTTAAACATCAGATGTTGCGTGATGGAAGAATTTCAATATTTTAAAATCTCCTTTAATGAGATTTTTAATTACAACTAGTAACCTTTTTAGGATCACACTAGAAACAAAAACATCTTCTCTCAGATAAAGAGCTACCTGCTGTTTGAGAAGGCTTGATGAACACCTGTATTTTAGATCAAATAAGTGTACAAGTAAAAGGAATCATTTAAAGTTTGTTTTGTGTGCGTGTAAACAACAGATTGCCCACACACTGTACCGACTGATTTTTTTAATCTACTGAGATACGAACTACATAGAAATAAAACTATTAAATCTGACAGAATTGCTTCACAATCAAAAATCTTTTGCATAGAGTGTTAACCGTATTAATGCTGTTGACAAAGCTCCTGAAGTCCACAAGTCTCACCTAGCAGTGCTCATACGCAGGTTTAAAAATCAAGTAGTTACTTCACAAGCTGAATGGGGTAACATTCAGCACTCATTGGCATCCTCTTAAACCAAGCAAGCATCCTACTCATCGACTTGAATTCACATGGAATATGTTCACAGCCTTGTTTTGTCACTAGAATTTCAAACAGTCACTCTATCAGGAGTTAAAAAAAGAAAGTTTGGTACATATATATGTACCAATTCTTCAGAAGTGTGCCAGTATTTTATCACAACACTGTCAAGAATGATCTCATCACCAAATATTAACTTGATTGGCAGCTATTCAAGGTGCTTTACCCCTCAACTTTGTACACACTGATTGCACCTTGCCTGGTGACTGAGGCACAAAAGGTGCAGTGCAATAGTACAACAGTTTGGACAGCATAGGGCAGTCCTGTCCCACTGGGTGGAACCCCTAGGCATCTCACACAATCCCTTTTGCACTAATTCAAGTCCACCAGCTCCTGAAACCAGTTTTCACAGAAGTCTTAGAGTGTAGCAAGAATCCTTGAAAACGAGATAATCAATGTCAATACTGTCTGTCCGACTCCAAACACAAGCGCTTCCAAGGGAGCCATATTCTTCCCTGCTACTCTGTAAATTCCAGCTACTGCAGCACCTAAAGTCACAAGGAAAAAAAAAAACAAGGTTAAAGCCAAGATCTATTATTTCCAGAGGACTACCAAATCATTTCTCTAACATTGCAAATTTATGCCTAGTAAGTAAGTACAAAAAACTGAGGTCATCAAGAAAGTTTTTATGAACGGCACTGCATTAGTCTGAAACACTGAGAAATTCTCACTTTCAAAAACCCCCAAATACTCAACATATAGTGTTGCAAAACCCCTATAAGAATGTTAGAGTATAGGGGAGAAGGGTTCCTGGGTTTTTTTATTATTATTTTTTATTAACACTTTTGTCCATTCTGTGGTACTTTGAAGAGGTCTTGAAAAGTTGTCTAAATCTTTACCAGCCAAAGCACACAAAAAAACAGTTATCTACCTAGATTTTTTTCATAGTATGGCAAGACAGAACTATACTGGCAAATGTTAAACCTTAAGGATTCCATGAGAGCTATACAAAGTTATTAAAACAAAATAAAAAGCATTGCATCATGACCAAGGACAATATATGAAAAGGAATACCACTTGAATATTCAATATAGGGATGAATAATAAGGAATTATTCTGACTTGTCCTACTGTGTTTGGGTTTTTCCATCAAGAGTACCCTGGCCTTTTGATACTACATATAGACTGCATAACTCAAGCCAAAATACTTGGCTGCAGAGTAACAGTAGTGGCAATGGTAACTTCCCCACTATCTTTCAATGCCAGTGAAATTTGTCACACACATCTATGTTGCGTTATGCAAAGGAAGGTCATATAAGCAGAATGAAAGCCGTGATGTTTTATTCAAAGTGATTAACGTCATATTTGCACTGATCAGTAGGAAATAATGACCTCCATTGTTACATGAGAGATTAAGCTCTTAAAACAGGTACTTAATAATTTGGTGTATGTTGTCTCCACCTTCAGATATATCAGATCATCTTTTGCAATGAAACTCAGTCATGTTTACTACCGTTAGGTAACAGTCAGTGTAAAAATGTATTCAATTTAGTCTGCAAAGAGCAACTAATGTTTATTTGATGCCCCATAGTTTACATTATTTGGTACATATTATCCCATCTTATTGTACTGTACCACAGTATGTATGCCTTAAAAAAAAACAAGGACAACTAGTCTTTTTTCACTATTAGAAAAATGTAATCGGGGGGGGAGGGGAAGGGAGTTCATGGAACGGTACATACTTGATACAGAAATTTAAAATGTTACTTAAATCACAATTAAATACCTAAACCAAAAAAAACAAAAACAAAAACAAAAAAAAAGTCACAGGGGGGGAAAAAAAAAAACCCAGTAGAGAACCTGTTCAGGTTTCAGTAAGCAGCAAAAACATAGATATTATTTGAAGTTAAGGAAAACAGATTTAGTTTTAAAATGGAAAAAGTGTTACTAGCCCTTTGTCAGGTCAAGGCATCATAAACTAATCTGCCAAATGAATTGGAATAAAGC